GCAAACTTCTTTCCACTTTATTGGATTTCATGCTAAAGCGACTGCAACATCAGAGGACTCTTTGTGAGGGGAAGGGTTAGCTTATAGTTTCAGGATTAACTGGTCATCAGGTCACATCAATCATGCGATTACAAATTTAGAAATTTCAGCCCCATTCTAAGATCTGGTAGGAGAGAAGAGCTGGAGATCCGAGTTCAGCAGCTGGCTAGTGATTCACTAAATCATGCTTAAGTAATTAAACCTTGCTTAGAAACTCTGAATGATAAGGGTTGAGGGAACCATCTGGTTGGTAAACATGCGGATGCACTGGGAGGGTGATGTGCCCCAGTCCAAAGACAAACAGCCTCCTGTTCTGGGGACCCCTTCAGGCATCACCCCATATATCTCTTCATCTAGCTGTTCATTTGTAGCCTTTACAATAAACTGCTACTCATAAGAATGACTCTTGTCTGAGCTCTCTGAGTTATTCTAAGACATTCTCCAGCCTGAAAAGGGGTAATAAGAACCCTCATGTTTGTAGCCAGGTTGGACATAATTCCGTACCGTTGGGACCAGGGACTGGCAGCTGGCATCCGAGGTGAGGACAGACCAGCGGAATTGAGCTCCTTAACTGTGGGGTCTATGCTGATTCCTAGTAATTAGTCTCAGTATTGAATTGAATTGTGGAGCACTCAATTGGTATCAGAGAATCATTTTTGGAATGACATAGCTTGTTAATTCCTGAGCCAGATATGCAAGAGAATGGAATGCTCAGGGAGACCTCACCATGTGACAATGCTAAGGTATGGGAGTTTACACCTATCTTATACAATCTACATATAAGGCATTTTAGAAGAAGATGACAGTGTTCATTGGCAATAATTCACGTCAAGAATTTTTTTTTAATTTTTTAAAAGATTCATTTAAATAACCATGAAAATAACAACATTAGCAGCTACCATTGATTGGCCATCTATCATGTGATCTGCAAGTTGCTAGGACCTTTGCAATTATCAATGATCTTAAATAGTCTTCAGGGCAATACTATGATACAACCTCATTCTCTCTCTCATTACTTTATTGTATATTGAAATTTGATAGAAATTAACCTATGGGGAATTTGGGGTGACACTAGATACATAAAGTATCCAACATTATAGTATCAGGAGGTGTATTGCTTTTAAGGAAATGTTTAAGGGGACAGTATCAAATGGTATGCTGTTATATAAAGACTGGTGGGGCAATATCATCATGCTTGTCCTACAATATTGCAGTTGTTATACCTTTCCCAAGGTCAGAGAGAAGCATGCATAACAAGACAATCCAGGAGGGCCTCTTTTCATAAGCCTTGCATTATCTCACTAGCAGTAGGTTTTATTGTTTTTGAGCGCTTCTCTGTCTAAAGTCTGAATTAATTTAAAGGAAATCTCACCTCCCTCGTCCTCATCCACCCTCATGTGATGTTCTTCACACAAATTAACTTCACGCTTTCATAGGTGCGTCTGTGCCTCTGGTGACAACATTTAGTATCTTTTACAGTTCCTACAATTATCCAGTCTGGTACTTTATTAATTATCACTCTACTGCCTCAAGCTTATGCAGCACACAAACTGGGAA